TTTCAATCCATATCTTGCACCACATACAAAAATAACCTCAAAATGGATCATAGACCTACACATAAAACAGAAATCAACGACTGGAGACATAATTTTTGGGTCCTAATGCAACATGAAAATGCAGCTTCCTTGTACAAAAGTTACTAAGAATTTCAAGATGGCAAGAGCACAACCCAAGCATAAGGTCCTTCCGAGTGCAGGGCCCTGTGTGACTGCATAAGCTGCACACCATGCATGCAAACCTGCCTAAGAAATATACAACTTCTAGAAGAAAACCTATGAGAAAACCTGTTACATGAGCTATGTAAGATTTCTTAAACAGATCCAATATCAAAAGCATGAACCACAAAGGAACAAATTGGTAAACTAGACATCAACAAAATTTAGGCCAGGTGTGGTGGCTCATGCCTGTAATCCCAGCATTTTGGGAGGCCAAGGCAGGCAGATCACCTGAGGTCAGGAGATCAAGACCAGCCTGACAAACATAGTGCACCACCGTCTCTACTAAAAATACAAAAATTAGCTGGGCATGGTGGTGCACTACTCGGGAGGCTGAGGCAGGAGAATTGCTTGAACCCAGGAGGCGGAGGTTGCAATGAGCTAAGATCGTGCCATTGCACTTCGGCCTAGGTAATAAGAGCAAAAGTCCATCTCAAAAAAAAAAAAAAAATAGCTGGGTGTGGTGGCATGCCCATGTAATCCAAGTTACTTGAGAGGCTGAGGAAGGAGAATTCCTTGAACCTGATAGGTGGAGGTTGCAGTGAGCTGAGCTTGCACCATTGCACTCCTGCCTGGGCAACAAAAGAAAAATTCTGTCCCTAAATAAATAAATTAATTAAAATTTCTGCCCTAAAAAGAGAGTGTAAAGTGAATGAAAAGTCAGGCCACAGTCTGAGAGATATTTGCCAAAAATGATAATACTTTTTTTTTTTTTTTTGAGACAGAGTCTCGCTCTGTCACCCAGGCTGCAATGCAGTGGCATGATCTCAGCTCATTGCAGCTTCTACCTTCTACATTCAAGTGATTCTCCTGCCTCAGCCTCCCAAGTAGCTGGAACTACAGGCATGCGTCACCATACCTGGCTAATTTTTGTATTTTTAGTAGAGATGGGGTTTCACCATATTGGCCAGGCTGCTCTTGAACTCCTGACCTTGTGATCCACCTGCCTCAGCTTCCCAAAGTGCTGGGATTACAGGAGTGAGCCACTGCACCCAGCCTAACACATTTTAACATGGTTTGCCCACTTATTATGTGCCAACCACTATTCTAAGAGCTTTATTGAATTTCTTATACAGAAACCATATCTCTTAAATACCTTATAAAGTAAATAAAATTTTAATCTTCATTTCAAATATGAAAGGTATAGGAATTTCAGAATCTAGCTTAATGATATAAAACTAATAAGCAAAGAAGCCAAAATTGGAGCTCAGGCTGTCTCACTTCAGAGTCCATGCTATTTTTATCTCCTACGGTAAAAACAAATTCCATTTATTTCTTCCCATTTTCTGTATTTTAATCTGTCTAAGGGAGGGCTTTCAAAAAGTCACTTCTTATGTAAACCAACTACCTTTAAAACTCCCAAAATAAGGTGTTATTGACAGCCACATCTGCCCAGCCACGTTCAATGTACAACATCCTCTTGCTACAAGCCTTTTCCAGGACCTAGCAAACTAAAGGGTTATCAGTGTTTCCGGGACTAGTATCAGCAATCCAAGGGTAGCACAAGTAATTTTGTAACACTTAGTGCCTGATAAAGCAGCCTTGAGCTTGAATTGCCACATTGCCCGACTTACTCTTTTGGAGCAAGGGACATTCCTGCTGCAGAGTACACAGTGGTTTCTTATGCCCTGAAAGGATGCATGTGCCTCCTTCTGTGAACACACACCCAGAGTGACCAAGGCATGGGAACATTCATGTTTATCTGTGTCTGAGCCCACTCACTGTTTCCCTGGAGGATATGGAGAGAGAAGCATCCAGTCCTAAAAAGGCATTGGGACTGAATCGTACAGTATGCTTCCATACCCTGGCTTCATGTAAACACAGGGTGATCATGACTTCTAAAGGCCTGGGTGTCGCAGTTCAGCGAGGGCCTGATTTAGTAGCTAGAATATATCTCAGGGAGGACAGCACAGCTCTTTGTCTGGAGGAAAGGTGCATCCATGACTCTGGCCACCAGGGCTTTCGAGCAACTCTCCTATAAATGTTTTCTTCCAGGTTCCTACTGAGGTATGTTTTGGGACTCTCTAGCATTTCCATGACAAAAGGATTTGGGTTAGCCCATGTCACTTTTACAAGTGCAAGTGAAACACTTTGATGTAAAAGAGAGTCACCAACAGACTAAATTACCTTCTCTGCACAGTAGAAATAATGTAGCTTGTAAGGTTTACCCAAAAAATCTGATTGATAATTGCTGGGTAAACTCTGTTTTGAACTATCAGTGCCAGGAGTCTTTCATGATTTCAGCTTTGATGTCACGTAAGTCTCTATATCTAAGAACACAAAAACATACGATGTGTAGCCCCTAGAACTCTGATTTCATGGACCAAAAACCGGGGATCATATTGCTTATTCCCATAGTATAGCCTTTTAGGTAGCACTTTAGTTTTTTAATGTCTTCATGCCTTCCAACCTTCAAAACAAGGAGTACAGTAACTGCTGCTGCCTACTCTGCCGGCAGGATTCACGGATCACATCTTTCCCGGGTGTTCTTGATCTTGCAGCGGAGATACATTCCTCTGAAACCACCCCATCCACCCCACCCACACAGAGTAACTCACTCTTTCTAACTTGAAGCCCGTCGCACAGAGCATGCCCAACAAAAGCCGAAACTTTAGTATTTGGCACTTGTCACACCCGAGGAGGCATGGCTTTCCGAGACTTAGCAAATTCCAAAAAGGTCGCTATGATTCTTCCTTTGTGTCGCATATTCAAAACTTAAACTTCAATCAAGTTAGGAGATGTAAAGTTTTTAAATCTAAGAGTGTCCTGGGCACATCAGCATAGTTTTGTTTTGCCAAATAGAAGAAAGTCTTGGGTTTTGAATTCGGAAGCAATTTTTAAACTCTAGGAAAGAGAAAAATCAATGGAACAAAACATCTGTACATACATCCATTTATTACTTTCATCTGTGCTCATATGACTGGCTCCAAGGTAACAGCTTACCCCAGTACTGCTTCTTCAACTCCCCAATGAAAAGCACATTTTCTCTGTATTTGCATTAACTTAAGGATGTATATGACTGTGCCTGTCTTTAGAAGAAAGCCCTTCTTTTGAGTTTCATAATTCTGATTTTCTCAATAAATGCATATATACACCATCTATGTATGCACATAAATAAATGAGAATGTCACTTGTTTCCGAACAATTATTAGCGGGAGTAACATACAAGGATTAGGGGAGAGGAGGGTTACTGCGTCTACCTGTGAAACCAGCATTAAATAGTTGCTCCTCATTTCATCAGGAAAAAGGAATGTGCTCTGGGGAATAGTGCAGCAGTCATAAAGTACAGACACAGCTAAACAAAATATCTGCCTGGTGCAGGCATTTCAGTTCTGGGAAGGGTTGTAGGAAGGAAGAAAATGTCCATACAGGGGTGGACAGGAAGAAATGAGGTCCATGTCCTTTCCTTTCAATTATCTGTGAAGATTAAGACACCAATCCATGTCATGTATACAAATGAAGAAAATTCTTGGGTTAATTCATCTCCAAGCGTGTCTAAAGGTGGGAGGATTTGCAGAATGAAGGCACTCAAAATTCATTTCCACATTGAGAATTTTTATGGTCATTTCTCATCTGAAAGCTCAATTTTTTTCTTGAACGGTACACACAATGCCCACCAAAGCTCATTGTGCAATTTTATTTTGAACATTTGAAGGACAGCTTTTCTATAAGAAATCTAACGCAATAACGCCCTTAATTAACAGGCTTTTTTTTTTTTTTTGCAGGGTGGGGCCCAAGTAGGACCCCAGAGACTGGAAGTGTGAATTTTAATGCTTTGTTGTCAAAGGAGGAGACACTGAAATTCTCATCACCTTATTTAAAGCGGGGTATGCTAATACGTGAAACTGTGCATTAATGGCCTAAATTAAGTTACAGGTATGAATTTTACATAAAACAGATTAATATTATATGTCATAATGGAATTTTAAATATTCCGTGTCCATGCATTTTTAATCTTTACGTGCTCTAATTTAATGCGCAAGGCAATTGCATTTCTTGAGCCCACTTTTGCATTTTAGATGGGGTAAAAGAATCTCCCCTTCGTTTTTGTTTTATTTATATTCCCTTCACCAAAAACTGCATTCGATTTGGCATTCTTTTCTTTCCTTTTTTTTTTCTTTTTTTTCCTACTTTTGCTAAGCTTTCGCATTTTTAAAAAAGAAAACGGAAAAGCTACACATTCCATTCCATCATTATGGTTTCGGCAAATGTGAAAAGGCGAATAATGAAATGGAGAGGGGAAATAGAGAACAGAATGAAGGTGCCTTCTTGAACAGCGTGTCTTTCTGATGGCACTGGAATCCCGCGCTCTTAGGAGTGGCAGGGTATTCGCGAGCAGGGCCCAGCCGCTCCCCCAGCAGCCGAGGCGGGGTAGGGGGGCGATGGAGAGTGAATTCCAGCCGCACATTCCCGCAGTTCTTCACAGGAACTTCGCTCTCTCTTTTCCCCTCCCTTGGGCACACAGCAGCCTGGCCCGACTCCCACCCAGCTCTCGTTTCTCAGAACCCGGACCCACAGCGTTGACGGAACGGAGTGCCCTTCCCATTGGCCCGAGCGCCATTCCCCGAGGTGGCACTGCTCGCCTGATTGGCTGGCCACTCCCGACCCCCCGCCCACTCCTCCACCCGGCTCCCCGCCCCCCAGCACCGCCCGGAGCCCCCGCCCGCGCCTCTCCCTCCGCGCACCCGCCCGCGCGCCCAGCGGGCCCCTCTGGGCTCGCGCTGCGACCCGGCCCGCGCGCTGGCCCCGCCCCCAGCACCCGGCTCTATAAATACAGCTGCGCGGCGGGCCGGGAGAGAGCGTAGTGGAGGAGGCGCGGTTGTGAGTAGTGCCGGGACAGGGGCGATCCCGGGCTAGGGGAGCGTGGCGGCCACGGCCGGGCTTAGTGGGAGCTCCGAAGGGAGTGACTGGGGGACCCGGGCGGGCCACTTTTCTTCCGGTGCTTTTGCTTCTCCTTGCCTTTGGTTCGGGCTGAGCATCGCCCGCCGAGCAGAGGTCCCCTCGCAAAACCCGGAGCGCCCCTCCGGTCAATTGTTGGGCTCGGGAGCATCGCGGTGCCCCGAGCGCGCCGGGCGCGAAAGCAGAGGGAGCGGAGCCTGCCGCGGACGGGGCTCGGAGCTTGCCCGCCCGCCTCCCTCGCTCGCTCCGGCGGGTCCGCTCGATCAGGGCGCAGGGCGCTCGCGATGAAGGCGGTGAGCCCGGTGCGCCCCTCGGGCCGCAAGGCGCCGTCGGGCTGCGGTGGCGGGGAGCTGGCGCTGCGCTGCCTGGCCGAGCACGGCCACAGCCTGGGTGGGTCGGCGGCCGCGGCGGCGGCGGCGGCGGCAGCGCGCTGCAAGGCGGCCGAGGCGGCGGCAGACGAGCCGGCGCTGTGCCTGCAGTGCGATATGAACGACTGCTACAGCCGCCTGCGGAGGCTGGTGCCCACCATCCCGCCCAACAAGAAAGTCAGCAAAGTGGAGATCCTGCAGCACGTTATCGACTACATCCTGGACCTGCAGCTGGCGCTGGAGACGCACCCGGCTCTGCTGAGGCAGCCGCCGCCGCCCGCGCCGCCGCACCACCCGGCCGGGACCTGTCCAGCCGCGCCGCCGCGGACCCCGCTCACGGCGCTCAACACCGACCCGGTGAGAGGCCGGGCACCGCGGGGGGGGGGGGGGGGCGGGAGGTGGGCGGTGGGACGCGGGTGTTCGCCCTCCTCCCGGCAGGGACCGGCCGGGAATGACAGCCCCCTCCCCCTGCTCCTCCGGGCGCCCCGGGCCGCCGGCTGCGGGCCGGGCTCGGCGAGCGCGGGTCCGGGAGGACGCACAGGGCGGGACTCGGGGCTGAGCGCGCCCGGGGCTGTCAAGTCCCGCCCGAGCCCGGAGGGGCCCCCCCCGGGCTGCAGGCTGGGTTTGGGAGCGTCGGCCCGATTTCCGAGGACGATTCTCGGACCGAGGCGAGGGCGTCGCTGGCGCCCGCTCACCTTTGCCTTGGTGTTCGGTTGCTGTTCCAGGCCGGCGCGGTGAACAAGCAGGGCGACAGCATTCTGTGCCGCTGAGCCGCGCGGTCCAGGTGAGCGCGCATTTCCCGTCTCGGGTGGCCGGTCACCAGAGACGCCCGTCCCCGGGGGCTTCCGGCGCCAGGCACCGCGGTGTTCTCCGCCCCCAGCGTTTCTGAGAGCAAACTCCCGAGCAAGTAGACACCCTCTCTCTCCCTGCCACCCAAGTAGCAAGTGAACCAGTACTTCGCCTTAGACCTCAAGGTTCACTCGCAGTGGAGACGGGCCAGCCCTTGTCCCCGCGGTCCCCGTGCTTCGCCTGGTGATCAGCGGGCCTTTCTGCCTTCCCTAGCCCCGGAAGGAGGGCAGGCACCCTCGCGGGCATGGGAGCTGCCCCGGTGTCCCCCACCCCCGTGCAATCTGTCACCCACAAAGGGGGATGCAGGCAGGGCCCCGGAGTGGGTCTCCTCTCCGGGCTTCCCGAGGGCCGCAGCTGCCTGCTCGGCGCCTGGCCCGGTCGCGGGCTGCGGCTGTTGTCTGACCTGGTGGTTTGTTTTGGGTTGTTGATCAAGCATGTCTTGAGTTTGGTCGGTGGCGCCAGTTAGTCTGCAGCGAGAAGGTTCACACACCCCCTCTATTCATTCCTCTTCCACAGGTGTGCGGCCGCCTGAGCCCGAGCCAGGAGCACTAGAGAGGGAGGGAGAAGAGGAGAAGTTAGAGAAAAAGCCACCGGAGGAAAGGAAAAAACATCAGCAAACCTAGAAACGTTTTCATTCGTCATTCCAAGAGAGAGAGGAAAGAAAAATACAACTTTCATTCTTTCTTTGCACGTTCATAAACATTCTTACATATGTATTCTCTTTTGTCTCTTCATTTATAACTGCTGTGAATTGTACATTTCTGTGTTTTTTGGAGGTGCAGTTAAACTGTTAAGCTTAAGTGTGACAGGACTGATAAATAGAAGATCAAGAGTAGATCCGACTTTAGAAGCCTACTTGCTGACCAAGGAGCTCAATTTTTTGTTTTGAAGCTTTACTAATATACCAGAGCATTGTAGATATTTTTTTTACATCTATTGTTTAAAATAGATGGTTATAACGGGGCAGAGAACTTTTCTCTGCAAGAATGTTACATATTGTATAGATAACTGAGTGACATTTCATACCGTGTATATATAGAGATGTCCTATAAGTGAGAAAGTATATGCTTTAATAGACTACTGTAATTATAAGATATTTTTAATTAAATATTTTTTTGTAAATATTATGTGTGTGTTTTTTTAATCTATGGGAATATTTCTTTTGGAAAATTATTTTTCAGCTCTATTACAGAGCTCTTGATACCTTGAATGTCTTTTCTGTTTGGCCTGGCTTTTAATTTGCTTCTGTTTTGCCCAGTATAGACTTGGAAGTAACAGTTAGTTATAGCTAGTGGTCTTGCATGATTGCATGAGATGTTTAATCACAAATTAAACTTGTTCTGAGTCCATTCCAATGTGTTTTCTTCAACATAGACTGAAATCTTTGTATTTGAAGCATACATGTTGAGAATATACTCTATCAGTTTTAAGTGCAGGGTTTTATAGTGTAATATATACAGAGTAAGTGTTTGTTTTTCAACTGAGGTCAATATGGATTCTGAACAATTTTGCATATAGGATGAGGAAATGCTTGGATCCTTAAGGAGTTTACGAAACCTGCTGTTTTATCAAAGTGAAAAAAACTTGCGTATCACTCTTCATTTTACACTAAAGCTTAATGTCACTAAGTTTCGTGTCTGTACAGATTATTTAAATCACAGAAATGAAAAAATGTTCTCTGCTTGCTACCAAAGCACAAACTCTTGGAAATGAACACTTTCTGCTTTCCTTCCTCCAAAGAATATTAATAGGCAGCAGTGGGAGAAAAAAAAAAGGCATAATGGCAAATCCTTCAAGCAGGGATAAAAGTCGATCTTCAAACATTAACTTAAGCAGACCAAAAATTCTGATGACCGCATCTAGATTATTTTTTTATAAAAATGATTTTCACTATAGCTATGTTAGTTACGCTAAGCTACTGTCCAATCTCTTGTGATGTGTAACTTTTACATGTGAATATTAAAATAGATTTCTCTGTCTTGTACTGTGATTTCTGGTCTCATTTCTTTAAAACCTTACCCTGATTTTTTTTTTTAAAGGCTCTTTTTTTTCTCCTTAAGGAAGGTAATATTTTCCAGGTTAGATAGGACTATCAGGGTTTGTGAACATTATGCATTTAATGTTATGGGTACTTGACACACAAGTTAGATGGAATTTTTAGAGTGAAAGAGAATTAAGTAGGATTTAATTGGGTGCTTTGTAAATAGTCAACTGTGTGTATAACGTGGTCTGTTTGATTTTTAAAAGGAAAGGATTTGTTTCAGATTATACAAGAATAAAAGTATTATAGACCCAAGGGACTTTTTATGAGGTCAAATTCAAATATTTATATGAATATGAAATACCGTGGTCCCCAGTAGTCAGTTGAAGTGGCAATGTCTAAACAAATGAACAAAACTAACGCTACTAGGTTAAAGTCAATCAAAAGGTTTAAAAATTGATCCTATCGTCAGCATGTTATTTCCTGAGCTCTGATATTTTACTGGTCTTTGAGTGTTTTTAGAATTTGATGTATTTGATGTTGAACCTTATAAAGTCAAAAGAACTGCTTGTTTAGATGAGGTTTATTTTTATTTTTGATATTATTCATTCTTGTCACACATCAAGAAGAAAACACTAGAGCACTGCTGGAATTCCAAATCTGAAGAATTCTAACGACTGCATTCTTTGTTATTAAAAAGGGCACAATCCTTCCTTTTTATTTGGCAGTTTAATTTCAGTAGGAAGCATGTCACATGTGCACTGTTGGTTAGAATTATGCATCTGTCATGCCTGACTGCTGAACCCTACCTAAGCCTTTGGGCACAGTTTAAAACTTAACGCTGGTGGACTATGAACCTCAAAACAAATGGATATTTCTGGGTTTTGAGGATAGATGTTACTCCTTAGTTAAAGTTTATATTTGGGGCATGAAAAACAAAAAGAAAAGAAAAGTGTTTCAGATACTGCATTTCAAAGAGTTGGCATTTTCCCTTTGGACACTCAAGCAGCATTTGATGTTTCTAAAGAAACAAAGTCATTGTTTATTTTTTAAAAAAAATTATATGCAGTTGTACAAGATACTACATTCCATAGAAATGCTGGCTATGGCAACCAGATAACAAAAACAGTTTGAGTCTTTTATCTACGTAGTTCTAATTATTCAGATGCTTTATTTAACAAAGGAAAATATCCTGACTTCTCTCATTTCATTCGTAAACTTCTCATTATATAGGCCCAACCAAAGAGGCAGACTCGTTTAAAACCCCAGAAGGAAAAAAAGTATCCCACACAGTGGATGCTGTTTCTAAGAATGTTAGAAAATCCTGACATCTCAGACATCTCGTGTTAAAGGAAAAATACCTTTTCATTTCAAAGAACTAATATACTTTGGTATTGTGTAAACCTTACTCAAGTTTATTGTCAAGCTTTAACTGCCTTTTTAGAACTTTTTAAAATTTTGACCCCACGAATCTATTGTATTAGTTGCCTTCTATAACAATAAATCTTCACTGAGCAAAAGGTTCTGGAGTTTGTGGTTTTTAATTGACTTTTACTGAGTTATGCATTTTTTTTATTATCAAGAATGGATACTTCTTGATGGATCACCTCAATTATTTGCGGTGTTTCTTACCATGTTATGAAAAATGGCAAAATGAATGGAAAGAAGATCTAGTTTGAATGCTGGCGAAAGCTTCTCCACTCCAGTGCCTGCTTAGGATAGGAAGCCGCAGGATGATGTCCAGGGAAAACTAATTAAAAAAAAAAGTTAATGTAGACGGAATTTATTTCACAGTAGTACAGAGCCAAATGAAACTGGCTCTGCCTTTCTAGCTAGTGCACTTTAATTATATATATGTTAATCAGCCCAGATAGCCCTTGGGTCTCAAAAGGGCCAAACACTAAACCTTGCAGGCTTATGAGGAAGGAAAACCTTCCAATTTCTACTTTGCCAGTCCAGGAAATTAATTTAACCCGTCTCAGAATGAATCTTAATAGGGCTGCCCTCAGTAGGTATTCTTCAGATCCAGATGATTTCTTTCAATTACAACCCATGGTATTTTGCTAAAATATTACTTATATTAATTAGAACCATTGCCCAAAAGGTTTTAGGATTGTAACTTACAGTTCTACCTTGAGCACTGATTTGATCGATACTTTAAAAGATAAAACCCTTACAAAAGGGAACTAATTTGTTCAAGGGACACAACCCGCAGTCATATATACTTAATTGAAAATGCTCTCAAATTGCAATGAATTTTTAAAAGTGTGTTTCGCATTCAAGTGCCTCCTTCACACTTCTTGATATCCTGGCTCCAGCTAAAAAGCTTTGCCTAAGTGCTAAAACTTAGGTCTCAACCACATTGCCAAAGGTTTTCTATTATGAGGGTGCAAGTCCATTATGAGGGTGCTGGAGGTCCATCATTTTTAAGTCTTCACAGTAAATGCACACATGGGATATGAAAAGAGCTATAAAAATTGAGGTAACTTGAAAAGTCCCTCTGAGTCCATAAAAGAGTAAACACATCAGTTTCTGGGGAAAGAAGAACAAAATGCATTATCTGTATACCACTGGCTAAGATAAAACTTAAAATGTTGAAATAAAGAGACCCAAGAAAAATTTTCTACATGAATCCATGATACTTTTTTCAGTAAGAAACCTCACACTTTAGCTAAAAATGATCAATGCCATTACATGAATATTAGCAAAAGACACAAATTTCTAGTGAAACAAGACACTATTACTTGCTTTTAATTACTGTTTCTCAATTCTTTATGATATAAAATACCTATAAGGACTTAGGAAAGGCATATAAAAGTCACATTTTAAAATTTTATCTTTTATTTCAAAGTTTAATTTCCAAAGGAAAGATTGTAGTTGTAGAATTCTTCATGCAAGTTCATAGGCTGTTTCTTAAGTATTTAAATATCCTCTTAAATATTTCTCAAAATATTTTAAACGTTTTTCAAATAGCATTTCCTTCATAAAGTTTAGCAGTTAATTGAGTGACGGTAGTTGAGTATGACTGTGTATGTATAAAAATAGTTCCCTGACACACAGAAAAATATCTTTCAAAAGCGATTTTTACTCTAAAAAGTGAGTAAACTTTCTTCTATTTTCTCCCCAGTTTTAGTTTCTAAGATTGGGGATTTCCATAAAGATGTACCTTCCATTTTTTTGGACTGCTGTATCCAACCGTACTATGTTTAGGCACAAGGGAGAACAGAAATGAAAGAACAGGTAAATCAACTGTCGTGTATAAATCATCTCCTAGAGTTTGGTTTTAACTTCACAATTTCAGAGAAAGCGAGAAAGAGGGAAGTTCTTATTTGTATGTCAAACCTCAGAGAAAGTCAGGAAAACAGACATAAACTTATAGACCAAAATTTTACAACTTACTTAAGCAATAATTCTTGGAAACACTTTTCATAGAAGTTAACCTCAGTCCACAGCTGTAGTTAAAACAAAGTAGGCTTCTTTGTTTGAGACTTTTCTTTGCATGTCCTGCAGTGCCTAACCAAGTAACCTTGTAAAATATTTGTTGAACTGAACTGAATGCCGTCTTAAGAGTCTCTTCTCCGATTATTTAGTCGCTCCTCCTTTGCCCTTTCATCTGCATTGAGTTGCAGTTGAGCTTAAGACCAATATATCTAACTGCCTCTGGTCCTCTCCACCTCTGAAGAGGAGTAGATTCAAAATAGGATTTGATGGTCTTCCCCAAAACTGCCCCTCTTTCTGAATTCCTTATCTTGGCTGATGCCACCTGTCATCACTCAAGTCAGAAACCTGGGATTATGCCTGTCTCCTGCCCCATCCTATTCAACGGAGCACAAAAACTCCTGCTAAAATTCTCTCAGCTCCTCCCCAGCCTCCCAGCTATGAACTCCCAGTCAGCTCCTAGTCTAGTGTCCTTGCCTCAACTTTCTTTATGTTCTCTATTTTCCATCTGCTCTAACTGCATGACTTCTCAGGAGTCACGCCCTGCCTATGTAGGCAAGTCCAGTTTCTTGGAGCAGCATGCAAGGTCTCCTCATGACCTGAACCTATGGATCCTCCCAGAGTCATTCCCGGCTGAACGCGGTGGCTCACACCTGTAATCGCAGCACTTTGGGAGGCCGAGGCGGGCAAATCACAAGGTCAAGAGATCGAGACCATCCTGGCCAACATGGTGAAACCCCTCCTCTACTAAAAATTCAAAAATTAGCTAGGCATGGTGGTGTGCTCCTGTAGTCCCAGCTACTGGGGAGGCTGAGGCAGGAGAATCACCTGAACCCCAGAGGTTGAGGTTGCAGAGATCGTGCCTCTGCACTTCAGCCTGGTGACAGAGAGAGACTCTGTCTGGAAAAAAAAAAAGAGGAATTCCCACCAGTCCTTTGTCTCCTCCACTTCTGGCTGCCTTCAAGCACATGTTATGATAAGATCTTGCCCTCTACATGCTCGACAGCAAAGCATGCTTATTTTGTTAGTTTTGACAGTGTATGATTGATTTCCTGAGAGTTTAGAAGGGAGCAACTTCAGGAAGGACACACGTGGACTGTAGAACAATGCGGTGAAGGAGGGGGCACCTGCCCAGACGGCCAAACCACGTAAGTCAGCCTTGCCCACCTGTAAGTAAGAGCTGAGCCAACCACATTCAAAATGACATCCTCTCTTTCATTCTTTCTCTGCATGTTGTGATACCCCTGCCTCGATCCCAGACCCTCACTCTCACTCTTGACTGTTGCTAAACTCCTACCTGACCATCACTCAAGACTCAACTGTTACCTCTTCAGCAAAAATTATGTGATGCCTCCCCTCCTCACCCCCCAAACAGCCTCCACGCCCCCTGCTATATTATAATGATTTTCACATGTCTGTGTTTCTGGTAGATCCCTGACCCTCCAAGGATTCCAGACCACAAGTACTAGAAGAACATTCCTGTAACTCTTTGTGCCAGCAAATCTAGCAAATTCTTTGCAGCTCAAAATTGCAGTCTGGAGATTTTCATTATCTTTAAAAGCCTTTGGCTGCCTTAAACATGGAAAATAGATAAGCTACGTGTTCTTGAGAATGAAGGAGTGTGGTCAGCCTAGAGCAAAGAGAGTTGGAAGGAGAGACTGAGAAGGGGGTAAGCGAGGCTGAGCAGATCCTGTATCCACAGAAAAAAAAAAAAAAAAAAGAAAGTTCTGACCCATGTTGGAATAACAATACAAAGACACGTCAGTGCCTGAGATGAAAATGTGGGGTAAGGAGAGATGACTCCCACTGACGTAGGTTGTGATGGGTCTGAGCAAGCAGGGGACTTGGGAAAAATTGTACAGTTAAGTCTCTGCATGTGTTTCTTAGGCCTTTACTCTCATGAATTGGTGAAGTGACGTGGGATGGATCAGTCACGATTAATGCACTGAATCCTCATGAGTCAGTCTTGAAAGGGCAAGCTTGCTGCATGAATGGGAAAGACTTTGACAGATAGAAGTTTTCATTACCCCTGCCATGATCGGAGGCCCTCGAATTGGAATCATATAATTAGAAACCTGGAGGCTGGGCACGGTGGCTCACATCTGTAATCCCAGCACTTTGGGAGGCCGAGGCAGGTGGATCACCTGAGGCCCGGAGTTAGAGACCAGCCTGGCCAACATGGCAAAATGCCGTCTCTACTAAAAACACAAAAGTGCCTGTAATCCCAGCTACTAGGGAGGCTGAGGCAGGAGAATCACGTGAACCTGGGAGGTGGAGGTTGCAGTGAACTGAGATTGTGGCATGGCACTCCATCCAGCCTGAGCAACAGAGCTAGACTCCATCTCAAAAAAAAAAAGAAACCTGGAATATGTATTATAACATTCCTCTCATTTTCCAGGGAAGGAGACAGAAACTCAAAAGGTAAAGTGATAGAGTCAGATCTAGAATCTGGTTTCCCATCTCTAAGCCAGGGCCACAAAGTTCAGTGTGGATGGATTCTATTCCAGTTTACTCTTCAGTGGTTTATCTTGTTCCCTATCCTCATCTACAACTTGCCTTCTTTGCTAAGAAGGTGGGGTTCAAATCTTGAGCAAATAAATATTAAATGTTGGACTGATCTGGCTACCTTTTTTAAAAGAGAGCACAGGTAAAGTACTTTAATAACAAGGATCAAGAACTGCAAAGCTCTTGGACAAATGAGCAAAGGCAATTCAATGAAGAAAGATGGTCTTTTCAACAAATGATGCTGGAAAAATTGGATTAACTTAGGCACAGACCTTAAACCTCTTACAAAATTATCTCTAAATGGATCATAGACCATTACATTGTAAACATAAAGGTCAAAATCGAAAATTCTAGAAGAAAATTTTCTAGAAAAAACATCTATGTGATCTTGGATTTGGTGATGTACTTTTAGATATAATACAACACCAAAAGCACATTCCGTGAAAGAATTTCAACCTGTGTTGTCCTCCACTATTATATCCACTACATGTGTGTGTGCAGACCTATCCTTCAGTCTACAGAAACAGTGTGGAGTGGGGAAAGGGCAGAGACTCTCTGGCCAAGCCCAGAGACGTGG